ATTTGCCGTAAGAAAGGAGCTTGCGTGGCTATGGGGGCTGCTGAGTGCAAAATGTCCTCCCCTCGTCCCTCACCCGCTCAACTATCCCCACTGATTGTTGCAAAGTGCCCCAGGTAGGGGTCGAGGAAAGGCATGGAGGATTTTCCCTGGGAGGCCCTGGTCTACCACATCCGTGGCAGAGGGCCAGGCAAGCCCCCCACCCTGCCAGTGCCGATGTCCCCTCCTGCCTACTGAGTGGGCCTGCTGTCCACTTCCCGCCCCAAGAACCAAGGCACCTCTCCTCCTCAGTCCATCCTGGTCAGAGATGACAGGCAGGCAGGGTTTGCTCTCCAAGTGCCCATCAGAAGGGTAAAATGCTCCTCCGGAACTCATCTGATAATTGCCCTATAATTTGTTTACCCTGTAAAAGAAAAGAACTAGGATCGCTTAGGAAAATGTCAGGGCCAACATGTCCCTACTAGAGTTCCGTTTTAATCCAGAGGAATCTGGTTGGAAGCTGAACTCTCCCATTTACAAGCCAGGTGAATTTGGACAAGCAATTTCCCCTTTCCCAGCCTGTCACCCTCTGTACAATGGGTAGAAAAACCCCTACCTCTGGGGGGTGCTGTGAGGATTAGAATGAGCATGGACCAAGCAGGAGTGCAGAGCCTGGCATCCAGTGGGCTCTGGGGAATGGGTGGCTGTTATTGGACTGACAAGCGCGTCAATAAGGTGCACTCAGGTAGCCTGGCACCCAGCAGGCCCTCCGTACGTGGCAGTTAATTCATGCAATGATGCTTTTGTTTGCATGGTGTGCCAGGCTCTTTATCATCTCTCTTTGGTTCTCTTTTCTTCTTTCCTGTAGCTCAAGTAAGACTAGACTGAAAGCGCTTTCTAGGTGCTGTGTGCTCCAGGCACGGCCTGTTATTTAATTCCTACACCCTTTGAAGCATTATTGTTGGCTCATTTTACAGCTGAGAAAACTGAGGCTCAGCAAAGTTAAGTAATTTTCTCCAAATGGCAATAGGTGGGTCAGGGTCTGAGCCCCACTACTGACCAGCTGGTGACCCTGCTTCCGGGTGAGAAGGGAATTCAGAGCCCCAGTCCTCCATTCTCACCACTGGATCCTGCCCTTCCCCCACGCTGCTTCTCCAAGTTCTGGGTGGGTGGTTCAGGGGGTGCAGACTCAAATGTCTACCAGGTGCTTGGCAGGGACAGATGTGAGGGAAGCCCTCAGGTGGGGACAGTGACGAGGGGGCAGCGTCTGTCCACCTCCATGACTGCTGTCTTGTAGGGACACAGGTCCAATGTCTCCAGGGCTCTTGGCTTTTCAAGATAAGTTGGAAATTGAGGTTTATTTTTAACAAAAATCTCCCAGTTTTAAAGTGTCACCTGTGTATTCACTCATCAAACTCGTGTGGAGCTCTTGCTCTCATTCTAGCCCTGGATGAGGCACCGGGAAACCATTCATTCATTCATTCATTCACTCATTCATTCATCAATCATCCACACTTCCTTAGTCTTCGCATCACATTTAGATCGAATGCAAGCTCTCCTTTGGCCTCCGAGGGCCGGCACTACCCAGCCTCTGCCCTTCTCTCTGCTCCTTCCACCCCAGTGTCCCCACTTGTGTCCCTTCATCTACCCTGTCCTCCTTGTCATCCTCAAGTACAGCACACACACTCATGCCTCGGGGACGTTGTGCTTACAAAGCCCTCCCCCCTTGGGGCATTCAAAAGGTTGGAGGTAAGTAGGTGATGGAGGGCTGACTGCGAGAGCTTAGATGGGGAACCTAATCCAGACAGACTTCCTGGAGGAGACACCTGAGGTTGAGTTTTGAAGGATGAGTAAGAGTTAGCCAGGTCAAAGAGAGATGGGGGTGAATGGGTAGGCTGAGAAAGGTGTTCCAGGCAGAAGGAACCCTGTGTGCAGAGGTTTGATGGACGCAGCAGGTGGGCCTTTGTTCTGGAATTGCAGGCAGCTTGGTCAAGCCCAGTCAGGCAGTCTGTGTGGGTGCTGTGTACTTGCTGGGTTACCTTGGACAGACTACACAATCTCTCTGTACTCCATTTCTTCATCTAGAGAATGGGGAGACAATTGGTCCTGGTCTTAGGGAGTTGCCATGAGGACCCCCTTGTAATGAGACACAGAGTACTGAGCATAGGGCTGGGCCCACAGGGAGCACCTGGCAGATCTCAGCTCTCCACAGAAAGCCCATGAGCACCAGGCGAAGAGGACAGCACAGGGCAGGAGGACAGTCCGATCTGCATTTCAGAAGTGCCCTCTGCTGCTCTGTGGAGGGCGTCTAGGAAGGTAGATTAGAGGACACTCTGGAGCCAGGTAGACATGGGCTCCCAGAGGGAGAAGCTGGTGGCTGGGGCGGGGGACAGAAGGGGCCTGTGTTAAGAAGGGAGCTCTGAGCTCTGACATCTTAACTCAGTTTCCTCATCTATAAAGTGGACATAATAGTACTCACACTCACAGGTGCTGTGAGAATGACTGAGTTAATTCATGAGAATTGCTCAGAACATCACAGATGCTTAATAGCCGTCAAATAAACTAGATTTATTGTACGACATAAGGTTAATGGATGGGAAGAAAGGATGCTGACACTATTTGCCTGGGACAGAAAGATCTCAGACTAGGCCCCTCCCCTTAGCAGCCAAGCTGTGTGGGAAACCTGCAGCCAGGAGTCTGAGGGGGCCAAGGCTTCCCCTCCCCAGTTGATGATTCCCACTAGTCTATCAGGCCTGCACGACCCTCGCTGATGTCAGAAAAGCATGAGCTGTCTCCTCTGTGCCGTGCTGGGCCAGGAATCCTGACCCCCTCAGTGGTGGCGAGAGCAGGAGAGAAACTCAGGGTCAAGGGAGAGACACAGGAGGGACACAAACTCATTTCCCTGAGCTTTCCACACACAGCCTCCCTGCTCAGAGTGGAGACCTTGCCCAGCCTTAAGAGAGGCACGCGGGCCTGAGCTCGTACTGTTAAGCACTATGTGACCTCAGGAAGTTTGACAAGTCTCTCTGAACACTAGTTTTCTCATCTGTAAAGTGGGGCCAATGCTGCCCACCTCTCACAGTTTGTGGGTGGGTTGAGAACAACAATATGAGTCAAAAAGGGGGAGGTGTTGTGAGCTGGCCATGGAGGCCCACTGAGCATTAGAGATCAGGAAGGGCTGTTGACCCCAAGACCACTAGGATGTGTTTGGGAGCTGTTGACCACATTCTCTCCCTCCTTTTCCACTTGGCACTGCAACCGGGAAAGGCTCCTGCTGGCTCTAACACCTGAACACATGTGCAAACAGGGTAGTTCACAAGAGTGAGGGACTTGGAGGGAAGGAGGATAGCTGTATCTCAGAGTAGATTGGTGGCGTCAGGTTGCAAAGACCAGGCTGGCAGGAGCATGGGGTCCCCAGCTTGGCCAGGGTGGGGTGTTTCAGGGGAGCTCTGCACTTCCCAGCTGGGAAAGCTGCACTGTGCCCTCACTGAAATGCCTCGGAGTCTTGATATTTGATTTACAGAGTTGACAATGAAAGGGACAACTTCTAACAGGCTATTTATGAAGCATTAATTCATCTGCTGGGGATTACCTGAGGATCTACTGCGTGCTGGCCAGGTGCTAGGATACAGCAGGGAGTAAGACAGAGCTGTGCCTCCAAGGGGCTGAAATCCTAAGGGGGAGATATAACCAACAACAAACACAACCAGACATCAAACAAACAGGAGAGTATGAGACGGTGAGTGTTCTGTCAAAACAAAGGGTGACATGAGAGAGACCAGCAAAACTACACTAGATATGGGAGTCAGCAAATTTCTCTCTGTTAATGTGACGTTTAATTCATTTAATGACAAGGAGAAAGAAATGTGAAAATCGGAGGTCAAAACACTGCAGAGAGAGAAACAGACAGTGCGAGGGCCCTGATGTTGGAGCAAGCTTGCCATGTTTGAGGAGCAGAGTGACTATTGCACAGAAAGAGAAAAGGCACAGCCCCTGCCTTCATGGAATCAGAGTGTGAGGCTAACTACCAAGTAGTGGACTGTTTTGATGGAGGAGGGGGTATTATAGAGAGAAGAATAGAGAACAGAAAGAATAGGAGGGAGGAACGTCGGAGAAAGCTGCCTGGGGGAAGTACTGTCTAATCTAAGACCCAAGTGATAGGTAACAGAGGGGAGAGGCAAGGTTCTCCAGGCAGAGGGGACAGCATGTGCAAAGGCTCCGCATAGGACAGAGACTGATATATTCATTCAGATGTGGTTGGTGCTGAGAGCTGCAGTGTGGAGGTGTAAGGATGGGATATTCAGGCAGGACAGCCAGGCCTGAGCCCACCCAAGGGTCTGATGGCAGAATTGATATTGCCAAGAAGGGCATTTCAGGGTGGGCAGGAAGGATCAGAGAAGGAACTGGAGGCAGCGAGGCCAGCATAGAGAGAGAGAGAAAAGGTGGAGCTGTGGCCGGAGTCTGCAACAGTGCTGGGGCAAGAAAGGCAAATCCCAGAGACCTGGCAAAGCAGAAAGGACCAGCCTAGGACAGCCTGGGGAGCAGGAACACAGGCCTCAGAGAATCAGACAAGCACACAGCCATGGGTCTTCCGGCTGGTCGGGTGGTTGGAGTGGGCTTTGAAGGCTGGCAGAACCGGGACAAATCCTGGCCTGTCCACTTCCTAGCTGGCTGCAATCACTTCCCCCGCTGGCCTCGACTTCCCCATCTGTCAAGTGGAAGCAGCACAGCCCACACCCAGAGCGGCTGTGCAGACTGAGTGTGTGCGGGAGAGCCCCCAGCACACATGGGTGCTCAGCACTCAGCAATCCTTTTCCTCGACCCTGGCCTTGGCACCCACTTCACCTCTCCGGGCCTCTGTCTTTTTGAGTGTAGAGTGGGAACGGGGATGCTTGCTCGGCAGTGCTATTGGCGAGTTAAAGAGCCGATTTTGCGGCCCAGGATACCCCACAAAGAGTGGAGGTCACAGATTCCATTGTCTTCTCTCCTCTTTCTCCCTCCCTGGCAGGAAACGCGGACACAGAATGGCCTGGCAGGGGCTGGTGTTGGCAGCCTGCCTCTTCGTGTTCCCCCCTGCCACTGCGGACTGCCCATCGCACTGTTCCTTGTGTGCCGTCAAGACCCGTGATGGACCCAGGCCCGTCAATGCCCTGGTAGGTTTCAGGTGCCCTGGTAGGTTTCAAGGTTCCTCGACGCCAGGGTCCTGGGTCCCGAGCGAGGAAGCCCAGGGTGGGGGGCGTGGCAGGCCTGGGAGGCTGGCCGGCAGAATCAAAGCTTTGACCCACCTCCTGGATGTCAGCATCTCTTGGCCGGCCTTCTTGACTTTGCTGTGGGTCCAGCTCCCCCACGTGCCTCTCCAGTCAGGCTGGAGCAAAGGTGCCCAGTGTGGAGGATGGAACACAGGCTTTGCTTCTGCCCTGTTCTAGCCCCATGACTCCGAATTCCCTCTCTGAGCCTCAGCTTCCTCCTCTGCAAAGTGGAGGCGATTCCATGAGATGATGATGGAAGGTAATTTAAAACTCCAGCCACTGTCTACTGAGATGCGCACATTGTGCCAGGTGCCGCTCTCAAAGGAGAGCCCGGGACTGAGCACGCCACTCGTGGCGTCAGACAGCCAGGTTCGAGTTCCAGCGTAGCCTGCTGTTCACATCGTCATCATGACTCAATGCCCCGACAGCCCTGTGAAGTAGAGACCGTTGTTCCGCCACCCCAGGCTTACTGAGCCCTCACGTGTCCATGCACACACACCCTTGCTGCGGTTCTTCACTGCTCTGTCCCTCTCTATCAAGTGCCAGCGGCATCCTTCGCTCCTAGGAAAGGCTTGGAGAACCTGAGCCCCCTCTGGGAGTCAGGAGTGGTAGGCCAAGGCAGGCAGAGCACCAAGGAGGAGCTTACTCGGTCGCTGGCACTGCCACCTGGAGCCGTGTGTC